ATAAAGGAAGAAGTGGCAGCCAGCCCTTTACATGTAAGATAGCTCAATAATTAAATGTTTATAGTATAGGAAGTTAAGACAATCGATAAACAGTGCTTCTCTCAAATTTTCAGCGTTCCAACTTTGAAACGTGGTCAATGAAGTTTTGTCATTTTGTAAACTTTTGATCCGGATAAACAAATAATTTGATCAGGGCTTGAGAAGCAAGTAAAAGTTGGGGGCTCAAGATTTTAGAAGCGGTCTTTATTTGAAAAGGAAATTTCAGAGTAATTAATCTCGAAGTCTCTAATTTTGAATAATTTTGTCACATCTCAGTAATCAGAGTTACTTCAAAATTGATAGCGTTTGGACTTGACAGTTCATCATGCAAAGTTTTGTCATTTTGTGAACTTTTGACGCAAACAAATATTTTAAATAGTCTATCTTACAACAAGTTTAACAATTATAGATCAGAAAAAAAATCACGTGTACTATCACGTGAAGAAATGAGCTTTTCACTCCAAGTAGGCGCATTTTCTAAAGACATACTTAGCAAAACGTTTTTATGTCATCATCTGTGTTAGGAAGAAGATAAATAAATAGATGACTGTATGAATGAGGAAAAAATTTCTTCTTGATAAAAGCCATAATAGATAAAATTAAAATTATTGCACATAATGTATGCATAACTGAAATTCTGTGACGTGTCATAATTTTGATTCATCTTGTTTTTGTAGTCCTGCCGTACCAATGATATTTGAAAAGACTTATGAAATTAATTGTTTGTGATAATGCAAGGTCAGTATTTTGAAATGATAAGTTATCCAATGTGTTGTTGGGAAAATCCCACCAAAATCAAAAGATGTATTAATATAAAACATATGAAGTGCGAATTCCACCACGAAAATGACATTCACGTTTTTTATAACAAACATAACAAAATTCTAGACATAAGAACAAACAATGACACTATGATAGGTGAACTTTATAGTCAACATACCTTAACAAATTTAGAAATATTAAAAAAGACGCAACCAACTACATGCCTTTGCTTTTGCTTGATAATAAAGAAATCGAAATGTTCAATAAATGCTTGATTTTAATCACCTGCTGTTTTTATTGTAAAATATTGAGTTCTGTTCATAACAGCGAGACGATAAAATGAGATGGTAAATTTTATATCTTATCTATGACTGATGAGAAAACACGAAGAAGGGATTATTTATAAATTTTGGAACAAATTATGTTTTAATTGAATTTGATAAACCTTATTCACAGTTTACACATATTTATTTGAATTTTTGAAATGTTCTGGAAAACTAAATAATTTATAAATGCAAACACGAGGAAGCCAGACAAAATATATGATACCATTTTTACCAATAAGATAGCTCAAAAAAATTAAGATTATAAACAACAACTTTTCCAAGAAAGATTTTTGACGACTGATACTAGGTAAGAGGGTTAATTTTGTCACATCTCAATGATCAGTGATACTTCAAAGTAGCCTTCGGACTTAAAACTTGAAATCCTAATCCTTAAATCTTATTTTTGTACTTTTTGTTTCAGGATTTTTTAATATTTATTTTTTATTGCTTGGCGCTGGCAAACAAACATGTCTTTTTTTTTCGTTTTTTTATAAAATCGTATTGTACTTTTGGGAATTTATTTTGAATCTTGATTGTGCTAAGGCGAGCAACGAATTGCCTCATCGATCTCTTAATCTGGAAGATCCACCATGATATGACGTCATCTCTCAACGGTCTGCGAAACATAAGTACAAAATTCATGTGAAGATGAAATTAAACAATCGAGAAAGCCTGGCGAGAAGAACTTTCCTACTTGATGATATTGTCACTACATAGACAGGCAAAGGTTATCTACAGTCAAATAATCTTAGCAACGAAGAAAGTCTTGTGAAAAAGAATGCTGTTACTGATTAGTGATTATTCATTGAACAATGTAGAGTATGTTTGATGTACACAATGTTTGGTTGTAAGTACATTTTACGAATCACTTACATAATTAGTAATAGCTGATTTATAACCATGAGAAATAATCTTTTTTTACTCTTTCATAGATCTACCTTCTAAAGTTGTAATATGAATTAACTATTATACCAATTCAATTGGTTTAAAGAATGCTATCATCCATAGACATGTGACATACATTCAAAGCACAAGCTTACCATAAAGTTTTGCGATCAATTTATGTGTCATGTTAACAAATTGTAAGCACATTTTATGCTGTGTCATATTGATAAATGACATGTATCAATAAGTGTCATGTCAGCAAAAGAAGATGAGCATCAATGAAATTAATTATTCCTGTCTTATTCACAAATCAACTTCATTTTCTTGCCCACATTTGTACACATCGCGTACCTATTTTGCAATATCGAATAGGTATTTGCGTGCTTTAGTGACAATCCACGCACAAAGCACGCGTGTATTTTTACCTACAGTAAACAGTGAACAAGAAATAAATCAGGATTGTAAATGTGAACTGTAATGATGGAGATAAACTCTGTGGAGATAATGCTACTTGGGGTTAGTGTATGCAAATGATGCCTTAGCGTAGAGGATGAAAATAGCCCACTGAAGTAGGAGCGTGCAGTCGTTGCAGTTGGCCAATTTCAACGGCTTTCTACAGGGACTATTAAGGTTCCCTGGGATCGCCTATAATGCACGAGTTTTCAACACACCCCAGTTGAAGGTGACTTGTGAAGCATGCACTAGGTTAGGTTAAATTAAGGGCATTATGGGTAACCTCATTCAAGAACAATTTCTTTTCAAGTGGAATTCCTGTGTTATGCGCTGGTTGGAAGTTTAGATATCTTAAGCATGCGCTGTAGTTGCGACGGATAGATGCTACGCTCAGGCACAGAATATGGAATATACAAAAGGGTCACTCGTGTCGGAGCCTTTTATGTTTTTCTCCTTGCGCATGTCGGGCCGCGCATATCGGCAGCAATTGTTCCAGCAAGATAATTTGGGCTTTTTCACTTGTTCCCAAACACTGAGTTGACACAACGTCATTTCTTATTTTGAAATCTTTTCGATTTCATTGTGAAGAAATGACGTCATTTACTCAAAAGAGAGTCGATATCTTTTACTTCAAGTGTCATAACAAATGTCGTTTGACTTTCCCAGTCAAACGAGTCATACATTTCTTCAAAAATTAGTCTGGCTAATTGATATTTACAACTGCCAGGATTACTAGAAACATAGTAATATGATAGTTCATTATTGTTAGTACTGCGCAAGTTATTGAGATCTGCTGTGATTTGATCAAGTAATTCTGTACGTTTAACCACATCGTGATTCAGTTTGCAAGGAAGTACTTGAAAAGAACTAAATCTGTTTCGTTTACTTTTTATTTCATTATTTTCATTAAATGAAAATCCTAGATCTTGAAACGAATATTCAATATCACAAACCATAGTATGAAATTTCCAATCAAAAACTTTTCCTTTATTTTCATGGATGAATTTGTTTCTTACATTACGAAGTTCATTCACAGCATCTCTATCTTTTGGATGAATTTTTGTTCCAATTGATTTGGAATACAATATCGTGGCGAAGAGCGTCGTACAATCCCACTTACTGGTGTCACCATTTTGAAAATTTGACAGAACAAGTTTGTCAGGAGGTTTCTTTTTTGAAATTTCAATATTGAACAATTTCTGACCACTAACGTTTGTATTTTCCTATTCTCCAAGAGATTCTATGTAATGAGTGTTCCATTCTTGGATAAAAAAATCAACAAGTTTCGTCGTAACATGTGCAAGTATTTTCTGAAGGTAGAGGTTATTGATTTCTTCTATTGACTCCATCTACAGATGTTACAGATGCTACAACATAAATAATATGAACATTAATACCTTGATAATAATTTATGGACAACTCACAACTGAAATATTTGAAGATTAAGTACAGTCACAACAATGTATTTCTTAATTCATTTGTTGTTACATCTATATGAATATTTTATTTGACATACATCAAGGCAATCATTACATGTGTAATAAAACATTGGAGTATGTTGTAACTGCATTGATTTACAAGTGCATACTTTCATGAGAAAGATAAATGTCAGTCAAATGTTGGTTTGAACACCAGTAAATATATAAATACATAATTCTTATTTGCATTTATCATGTTTACTAGTGACTATGTGCATTTTTTCAAAATATAACTAATGCATATATGAAAATTGAATAAGCAAAATTTTCTACGTCTTCATAAAAGCCATGACATAAAAAAATAAAACAACAGTACATAATATAAAATGTGTTACTGAAATTCTCTGATTATTTTGACTCATGTCAGTTTTGTAGCTTCTTAATAAAAATAATATTTGAAACAATCTACTGGAATGTATGTAGTTTGTGATGTAGGAAAGATCAGTATCTCCAATAGTAACATAAGAGTAAAGTGTGATAATAAATTAAGTTAATGTTACATAAAGTAAGAGAAATGTCACGTGATCTTTAATATCTTACTTCCGTGAAATGCACGTGATGTGTATCAATGTAGAACATTACTATTCTATAGTAGAAATTTATTTCTTTTAATTATTATATAAAGATATATGAAAGTTAACAAGTTAATTTTCCAAAATTCATTGGAGCTAGTTCCAAATCTCACCAAAATTAACAAATATTTTCTTTATAAAACATTTACATACGTACATAACGCGGAAGTACAATATTTAGGACATAAAAACAAAATAATCGATAAATGGACATGAAACATTAAATCACAAAATTAAAATACAATATTACAACGATACGTAAATTTTAAAATCAACATACTTTCACAAATTCAGAAAGATTAAAAGACAAAACCAACTACATAATAAAGTCGGCGTTCTCGTCGATTCTGTGGAATAAATTTTAACAAATTATGTTTTTGGTCACGTGAGATCTATTACGCCTAGGAGAAAGGCTCCTAGCAGAGGGAAACATTACATCCCGGGCGGAGAGAGAGGGTGCGTCTGCGATGCATTATGGTCAGTGTAGTGGATAAAATGGTATTATTCAACTAATCCCATTTATCCCAATGATTTATATTCAGTGAACTGTAATAACAACGTTGTAATTACAGTTCACTGTTTATAATTGAAAATGATAAAAGATAAGATTAGAGGGTCAGCAAAAAACGATGTACATGTTGTATGAGTTCATGCTACGTAATTTATCGCTGAATACGAAAACTTTTTTCTGCACTCGTCAAAAGCAGTTATGTTACGTATGTATTCTCCTTTTCGTATTTACTGTTTTTGTATTTAAACTGTAATCAATTTTTGACTTTTAAGTTAAGCATCTGAATTAAGAAACTACAACCATGCTTTTAGAGTGTGTAATGCAAAAGGTTTGTAAGCAGAATACAGGAAATGGATAGGACGTTATGACAAAGTTGTGCTAAGCTTTAAGTGCTACCTATTCAAGTTTACTTCTTCTAAATCCAGCACAATCATTGAAGCACTTATGACTGTTTGCCTGTTTCCTTGCAAACTTATTTAATGTAAAGATGATAAATGTACACATTTGTATGATATCAATGCCAATAATTTTAGCATGGACAAACAAAATAGTTGGAGAGGGCAGCAGAAAAGTCTAAATTTAAACAGCTCGAATGGAAAAACTGAAAGCATTTGTCATCCAAGCCAGTCTTCAATCATTATCTTTGCAGATTTTGCAAACACCAGTATTTCGTCTACAGCAAAACCAAGAAATGAATTTAAAATGAATTTAAGTTTCTCATCCACTGTATAATGCTTTAAAGACTTTGGTTAAAACATACTCATGAATATCATCATAGCAAGAGCCAAATATGAGTGATATTAGTTTCTCTCTCTCTAATTCCATTTTAAAATTTCTGTTTAGGCTTGAATTTTCACAAATACACCTTGCAAACTGTGAAAAGGAAATTGTTAAAATTAATGTACAGGAATAACCATATATATATAATTATATATATTTATATGCATTGTAATTTGTAGGCATGGTTTGCATTTTGTATAAATCTAGTGCCATAACTACAAGAAATGAGCAATGTATAAATTAATAGAATGGATTGTAAAATCTCTGTGGGAGTGCTCACTTACAAGGCAAATGAGTACACCACAATTAAAGCTGTCCTGCTGTGAGAAATGTAATGGCTCGATACATGACCAAAATTGAGAATGCCAACCAGTTTTCATGTCAGCAATTTCACTAAAAAATACAGTAGCAGTACTTTAAGTATTGCTTTTCATCAAACTTGATACTTAAGATATCTCTCTGCTCTGCATAATGTAAAACTTCAAACTTACTTCCCTATTTATATTAGACCAATTACATTCACATGTCTTAGGTAATGATTCTAATTTGTACTTAATACCATACAAGGAAGCAAGTAATTTGCCTCTTACCCCCCTCAAAGAAAATCCTGTTATGCCTTGTAAACACCTTTACAATATTTTTTTAAATCTTTGTTTAAGTAATCAAACCTTATCTTGTCTATAAGGTCCATAAGATGCGGGTGTGTTTGAAAATCAATTGTTATTTCCTTTTGTCCATTAATGGGGTCAATGAGGTATCGTATTTTCTTAGATTTGTCAATTACCTATTGGCAAAGTCAGAAATAAGTGGAAAATTCTTTCTTTATATAAATTGTCATAAATAATTTATATGATGGTAGAAAAAATTTCCTTCAGTCTTGAAGAGTAAAAGAGTAAATCTTTCAGTGTTCTTATGCGAGGACCACAGAGCACATTTTTCATTAAGGGGGGGGGGGAGGGGGGGTATGTATCCATCCACCACTAAAGATGCAAAAGTTGCAAGATTTGGATCCAAAGACAAATCTAAAATTTTCAAAATTGAGGGCCATAGTCCCACCTCCACCCTCCCTGACTCTGCATTCCCTGTTACATGTAGTAGTTACTACATTTGCTCACCAGCAATGTCCAATGAATACCATACTCGTTAATAGGAACAAATATTTTTGACACAGAAGAAAAACATTGGCCAGACCACAGCAAACGGGTGCTAGCCCCACGTTTGGCTATTGTTGTCAAAGATGCATCTGCAGCGAAAACATTATATTCCAAAGTCAACATCCACAAAGATGCTTCCACCACCTGAAAATGAACGAACACTAACTTGGTATGGAGGAAAGACTTAATATGTACATTTTATTAGTAACAGTGTATTTTCAGAACCATTTTTCCCTTAGTCACGCAAATCCTACGCTCTATCATGTTCGTATATTTTATACCTTCACTCAGGGCAGTCAGGGGCATCAATAGGGGAAGAAAAATTTGGCAATAACATCATGTTTTTTACATATTGTGTACATTAGATTCAATCGCAAATTCAAAGTATGGTGCGCTGCAGCAAATGACGAGCGGGTTAATTTTTCAGAAATAACCACGTTAGTGTAGTTTGTTACGAGCAATACCTAATACGAGACAGAAAACGATTCTATTACAGCCCATTTTGTTTTACTACCTAATGGTGATATGAAATTATTCCTAGTAAGATTCATTATGTTATTTTGTTTTCTTAAAGTAGGGGTGCCCCTACTATAAGAAAACAGGGGATGCCCCTAAATATAAAGGGACGAAAGCCCCATAGCTACCATTTTCTAACTCCCTGTCTTCACTGGTTATTTAGCCTAGACGCTTACCAACCTTATCAATTAGCCAACCAGGATGGAAATTTGTTAATGACGATGTCTCTAAACTGTGCATACGTGCCACTTTAGGCGGAATAAGTGTCCACAAATCGCCGAGTGTTAGTTGTGTCTGCCCGAAATCTAACAATACGTCGTGCAATTTGAACCCCATCTTTGTTGCATTTATTAATCTTGACAAGGGTTCGTGTTTTCTGCTTGATTCAAAGAAAGGATATTTAAAGCTGTTATATACCATAAATACTAGTGAATTATCCAATAATTTGTATAAAAATGGACATTTGATTTATACGTTACCGTTGGGAATGATCACCACAACCCTTATTTGCGTCAAAGTCTTCTTGCGGGAAGCTAGTACGTTGTGCGACTACAATGTCTGAATTGTATAGTGCATCATCCTCAATCCCTTCAATTATGCAAATGGGTATTTTTTCAGTTTTCTACAGAAACAAAATCATACCCGATGGTGAACGATATATTGATTATAATTATTTTTAGTAAATACTTAGCAATGTCTTTTTCATACGGCCCCTTAACTTCTGCTTGTGATCTTGCTTCACTACATCATACGTACCTGAGCTAGTATATCCTTTTTTCTCCATTTTTTCCGTTTTGGTAGGCTTTTGTGGAAAACTTGATGGTATTCTGTTTTATTGATTTTTAGTTTCTTTTTCACCGGACTACTTCGAAGCAAAATTCCGTTTGCATTTGGGCAAGAAGATATTAGTTTCTGGTGTATTTTGTCTACCGATTCTATAGCTGCTTGAAGATCACCAACTTTATCAACGAGAAAGGACGTGTTTTTTATAGCATCCAGTTTCTCATGAAGAACTTTTCTCAACTTGGGTGTGTCGTGATTTGAAATTTTCCTTCGCACAATTTAGAATTAAAAGCAGGATGAAAAGACTTTTCGGATTTATCTGCAGTGCTTTCGATGTCGCATTTGGTGTCTTCCGGCGTTTCTATGGTTGTTGATTTCTCCTCTGCTGTTTTCTCTGAAATATCATAGTTTATAATGGTGAAATGTTCATTATCAAGTGTAATGAAAACGCTATTTCTGTAGTGATCAGGCAAAGAGTCGAAACTCCACTCTAGATTGGCGGAAAATATTGCAAAAAAATGTTTGCAAGGGTAATGAGTCTTCTTCCAAGCTTTGCAAGAACACTCTGGTTTGCTCAAATTTCAACACGAAAGCCATGTGTTTTCAGTATAGTCTTTAACTTTTTCATAGAATCCAGACTTCCGTAAGTTGGTGACTTCGGCATCATACTCACTCTCTGTGCTTGCAAATGATATTCTCTGCATTTGGCTCAGGAACATTTCCTGTTCTTCTGGTGTTAGGTTGTGCTTCTTTGCTTTTGACCATCTTTGCATGGCTTGAATTCTGTGGAAATCGCAGATGTAGACTGTTATGTCATGAAACTGTTCTTCGATCGCCCCAATCTCGGCTGTTGAATAGTCGACCATGAAATACTTAGGGTCCAATCACGATTCCATGATTTGACAACGTTCAAAGCTTCACTGATAAATTCTCTGTCCTCTGCTTGGCACATGAACTCGGCCACGACTTTGTAGCCAACATTTGTGTGAACACAAATGAAGAACAGGGTATCGCATACTTCGTTGTTTTGTATGTAGCATCCATCAAAACAAGCTCGTATCCATATCTTGTCAACAAACGCTGCTGCCATTGTTCTTGATGAACAAACAAAAGCTTTGCTCTGCGGATACTCTATCGCTGTCGTTTCTCTTTGTCGTTTCCTCTCGCATCCTATAAAAAAAATTCGAAGTGGGATCTTTTGCTTTCCACTCGTCAACTTTCCTTGCAAGTGCTTCCTGGTCATCGTCGCAAGATTTGAAAGAAGAAATGGCTCTACCAATGTGATTTCGAATGTCTTGCCGGGATGGATAGTATCGTCGATTTGCTTTTTTGGGAACCTGTGTTTTTGGAACATCTCGAAATAGATCGTTCTCTACGAAATTGTCCAGCCATCGCTTTACTTCAGCAACGCTGGTAATATTTTGTTCGACCAAATCATAGATTTTTTTCACGACACGTGAATCGACGTATTGGCCAATTGATAACTCAGTTCCCACTGGGTGTTTTTGGTGAGCAGAGCTTAGCGGTATCCTTAGGTAAAGTCGCGTGGACCTACGGACTTTTGCGTTCTCTTTATTAAGGGCCTCGTTTAGTTTAGTTACAAGCGTACGTTTGGCAACTTTTATGGCGTTGTTGGATTGACAAGCGTTTTTGTCCATGAAGTAATCATCAAAAATCTCGATGCAGCGAATTTGCAAAGTTGCAGGGCACTGGAGTTTTCGACTGTTTTGTAGTCTAACTCGCTGTTTCTTTTCATATTCGTGGTCTCCCACTGACTGTACACTATAACCTCCTCTTCCATCCTGGATGTGTAATAAAGCAACGCAATTTTTTACCCGCTATATATATGTAAAAAGCCCAAATATTTCTTCTTTAATGTATAGCGAATGTAATTCTCTTTCTTACTGAATAAGATTTTTTAATAGTTAACTCTACAAACATTTTTATAGGCAGTGTTAATAACTAGAAATTTTTGATAAAAAGACTTTTTTATATCTTTGATGTTGTTGTCTGGTGATTAATCATTGATGTTGATTTACGTACCTTATTAGGTCCATGGAGACAATGCCGCGTTTCCAGGGGCGGATCTAGAGTATGTCAAATCCGTCGCGCGACTGATGTTTGAAATTCAAAAATTACCTATTCATATTAATTAAAAATTCATTAATTATTCTTACTTTATTATCGCATTTACTTCGTGATAAAAATCCAGCTTTATTTATTATTGAAAACTAATGACTAATGCAATGAATATCTCCTTGGTAACCAGATCAGTTGAATTTTAATTGACCTGGAATAACCGACTGATAAGCGGGGTGGCTTGACTGGTTCGACTTATAAAGGAGTCTATGAATGCCAGAAACGCTATTTTATTGGTCAATGGCCAGATCAGTGGACAGTCTGGAATAATCTCGACCGATTATAGGGGTGGCCGGACCTATAAGGGAGTCCAATTGCTATCTTACAATTGGTTCATTTGAATTTTTGTCTTACTGTGATTGGTTTGACCGATTTCGACTGATAGCCAACTGAACTAACATAGTCAAGATCAATGTCTGAATTGAATGTTTGATCGTTCATAGTAATTTTCTGAAGCATGATAGAAACTAAACTACAATCAGATGGAATTTATGGAAATCTTTTACAAATTCATATGTTGACATGAATGCTGCTTTCCAAACTGGGAATTTTTCAAGAGGGTGAAAATTTATGGATGAATTGTAAATGCTTGGCAAAGACTATCTCGCGAGCGACATTTCAGTCATTGATGTTCAAAAGAAAGCCAACATTGTTTTGAGTTTTATCAGCAGAAATTTACATCGAAAATCGTAAGTAAAGGACAAGTGAAGTGTATGCATGAATGCAATATATCAAAGT